CTGGGGCGGCGCGGAGAGCTTCCCGTCGCCTGGAGCGGCATGTGATGAACTGGCTCCGCATCTGAAGTAGAAATGAGCCCATGTCCCTTCTTCCCCCCTCTTACGGTACCCCACTCTTGGGAGAAAACTGAGGCCTTGAGGTCGTTGCTAGTCCCGCTGCTGCTGTTTCTAGGGAAGGTTCTGCTTTGCATCTGATGTAGTCTTGAACTTGGCCTCTAATTAAATGTGTTAAAAATCTGAATATTGGATCGTAGGTGGCAACGGGTTCGCGACTCCTCAGTGGGCCTGAGGTGAGGAATTTTCAGAGCAAGTTTCTGTCTTTTAGGAACCTCTGAGAATGCTGACCCTAAAGAAATAAAGGGGTGCTTTGCCAGTAATTTTGTTGGAGTTAGAATTGAGTGCAGGCTGGACTAGCATGGTCTTTCTTTTAGCCTGTTAGATGCATAACCTTCACATTTGCTTCAGAAACTGTGGGGAATTAAATAAACATAAGCATTATTTTCTTTTCTGCTTGATAGCTGGCGATACTGATGCCTGCTGACTGGGTGTCAAGGGGTATTGCTTGTTCAGGAAAGTGTGTTTGGCCTGTAGTATGGTCCAAGCTGGTCTTCCAGAAGGAAGAATGAAAACATGCTTGCTTGTCATTAATGTGCTACTGATAGGCAATGGGATGGGCAGTAATAAAGGCAAAAGTCCAGTGCAATCCCAGCGAACTTCCCTTTTTAGGCTTGACTTGAACCTGCTCCATGTGTATTGCAAGGAGTGGAATGATTTTTTTTTTAGTAATTTGACTCTTGGTTTTAGTTGTAGAGGCTTACTTTACAAGACTGAGGATACAAAACTCTGTTGCAGTTTGGTTGTAAAGAAATTACAAAGAAAATAAAGTTGTTGGTAGCAAGTTGAAGTCTGCACACTAATGCTTCATTTCCTGATATTCTGCAATGCATGCAGCTTTTTCAAGTGTTCTCTGAACTCAGTGGGATTATTTCTATTGACCTTGATGGGTTCTGGTTGCTTTAGGTCACAGCTTTCAAACAGCTGGGGACCAGTACAAGTTCTTGTACGTGTGTGTTTTCTCTAAGCATCTTTTTGGTTTGGGGTTTAGTGGTTCTTCTTACTAGGTTTTAAATTTAAGTTCTGAGAAAGCTAATAATAGAAAATGGTTCAGGAAGGTGCTACAACTGCAGTCTGGCTTGCCCATGACTGTTCATTTTCTTCCACATGATGCAAAGATAGCAATTAAGTCAATGTACGCATGACAAATAGTCTTTGCAAATAGTATGATTTCCCATTCAGAATGAGTAGTGTCTCTGCATTTTCATGTTCAGTTATTTACTTCACTTTGTGCTAGCACTTGCAAGGTTACTTTAAAGTCTTGCATTTGGAAATTATGATCAACCTGTTGATATAAATCGAATTCAGTCTCATTGGAAGGCCATATTGTAGCCTTGCTTTTGTATTTTATTTTGATTTTTAAATTCATGTTGAAAGTTTGTGGTGTTAAGTACTCAGCAGGGAGGCTTCAGTGTTAGACCAGACAGTGGGCAAATACATGCGCTTGTCTTTGCTTACCTTGCTGAAATACATTGTGAAAAATAATTATTTGAATATTGCACAATTTTGGTGTGTAATCTGTTTGTGTATGGTTATTACCTACTTCATAACTGTTTCAGAGTGGTGATGGAACTGAGCTGACAGCCAAACCGAAGAGAAGCTTCTACGCAGCAAGAGATTTATACAAGTACCGACACCAGTATCCAGTAAGAATATTTTATGGTTTAAAATTGCCTTTTTAGTAGGAGACAGCGTACAACCCAAACATTCCTAAAACTTTGTGGTGCCTGGTAAATATGAGGAATAAAAATGAGAATCAAAATCTGATGCAGAGGCCCAACATATGGCAGTGGGACAGGAGTGAAACCAGTGCGACATCTTTTCATCCAAGGCATGTGTGCAGACATGTGAGATGTGTAAGCCTGGGAGCAGTGGTAGGAACCCATAAAAATGCTCATGCCTTGAATGTCAAAGACTTTGGACTTATTATTTGTCTCTCGGATTCCTTCAGACTTGAGTCAAGGTGCTGCTTTGCTTGCTGCTCAGACCTTGGCCTCAGCAGGAGACAGTACCAGCCAGAAGGAACTTGCAGATCCTTAAACTGAGTCTTTTAAGTGCATGAGTAAAACTCTCTGGTTCCTAAAACTCTGAACTTTTTTTTTCCTCAAATTATTTGAAGAGCACAATATTGTTTTCTGGATACCCTTGATAGGTTTTGGTAGGCTGATAATGTCCTATTTCTTTTCTTTTAGCAGAATTTTAAAGATCTTCGATATCAAAATGACTTGTGCAATCTCCGCTTTTACAAAAATAAAATCCCATTTAAACCTGATGGTGAGTAATATGTGTCAATAATAGTGATAACGAAAGAAGGCTCAATAATAATAGTAACAAAGTGAAACTGTAGTGATAATTGCAGTGCTGAAAAGCATATATAGTTAAATAACTTGAACTGTAGTTAAATAACTTGAACCTTCTGTGTTGGAGTAGCAAGTTGATACCATTGGAGCAGGTTATGCTTAAACCAGAGTTGCCTTGTGCTCTAGGGAGGTGGTGCTTTCCTCATGCATTTTCAGCATGATGTCACACAGGGCGTTGTTTGCACCACTGCTTCATAGTAGTGGCACTGCCTTTTATTAAACAAAGATGAAGTTGTTCTGCTGTGCTGCACAAACCGTTGCTGCTTGATTAGGAGTGGCAGGAATCAGGGTGTTACCCGTAGCACTGTGTAAGGGAAAAAGAACGTGTTGTAACTGCCTTCTGTGAGATTATTGTAATAACAATAATAAATAATTTCTCAAAGTCCCTAGTGGTTCAGGTAGCGGAGCAGGAACCTCATTGCAAGGTTCTGCACAAACACAGGACGAGCTGAAAGATGGCATACCCTGCTTTAGGTAGTTTGCAGTCAAAGTATGAGAGACAGGAGGATAGCAGACAGATGGGGAAGCAGACGTAGGCAATAAAACAGTCTTGGTTAGAATGATAGACGAGAGCCTCGGTACATGAGAGCTTAGCCATTGGCAAAAAAAATTTTGCAGGCCCAAAATAGCTTTTGAGAGTTCTAAAAGAATGACGAGGAGGTTACTTTGAAGGTGTTTGCGGAAAGATCCTCTGAGCATGAGAGCAGCTTGGGAGGAACTACCAGCGTGCACAGTGAAGTACAGAAGTGAGATGTGGAGGCTGCCACTGTGGCAGGATCCTGTCAGAGGCAGGATCAGTCTCATAGCAACAAATAGGTTCTCATAAGGTAGCAAGGGGCAGGTCACAAAAGGCTTTGGAAGTGAAGGCGTATAGTTTTTGTTTGATGTCACAGAAAAGGGTTTCACAATGGAAGAATGCAAAGCAAAAAAAAGAGACAGTATAAAAAAGCTGTGGTCTAGACACATGATCTTACCAGCAGCATTCAGAGTAGGTGGAAGTGTGACAAGAGGGCACTTTTCAGGGTCAGGAAAAAGGATGTTGAGATGCAAAATGTCAAAGTTCTGATAGGAAGCTGGATGGGAAGGAATGTTACACAGAAGCATGTAAGGATGTACATATAGGAAGGTTGAAGGTGAGAGATGTTTATAGGCAAGATAGTGATAATATCCTCAGCAAGTGAGAAAACAGGTTTTGTGAAGGAATGATAAGACCTTTGTTTTAATCATCTTGAGCTTTATCTAGATGTCCACAGGCAGATGCTGTGTTTTTGGCTTGACTGGAAGAGCAGTTAGATCTGTGAATTACCAATACAGAAGTAGCAAATTTAGGAGACATTACACAGAGAACAGATATAGAAAGGAAAAGAAGGGCACTGAGGTCCTTGGGAACCTGAGAACCACGTGAACCTGAAACTAAAAGCCAGAAAAGGTTGGGGGGGATCCTTTAAAGTGCAAAATGAAGGAGAAATTCAAGAGGATTAGCCATAGGAAGAGATAGCCGTGAAAGCTAGAGGAGGACTTCCCTCCAAAAATTAGACGAGAATAAGATTTCTCTTAATACTTCGGGAGAAGACCACAGTTGGTAGTGTCAAAGTTAGCTAATAGGCAATTGGGGCTGAAGTGTTGATGGCTGTGAGCTCTGGTTATGCAGAATTCTTCGCTG